AAAACTAGAAATTGTGATGTAAAAACATTTTAAGTTAAAAAAAACAAAACAAAAAACCATGTTTTTGGTTTCAAAAACATTCCAAGCAGAGACAGGACCAATTGTCAAAATGTTGGTGTCGATCATTCGATTTCATCCTGGACACTACAGAAAATGGGCTAAAAGTGTTAAAAACCGGAATTCTCCTTTAATTTAAGCCAAAACAACCTTTTTCTATAACATTTAGATTAGAATTCAAGAAAAACTGTTAAATTCATTTGTAAAAATTAGAGAATTCTTTTTCAATTTGTTGTGAAAGAAAAATAAGCATCATTATAAGCATCTCCCTGCAATGAGTTTTTGGAACTTGGGATGTCTGACACCTCGTGTCTTAGCTGTTGGCTAATGTTTCGTAAAGGGATTTGGTTATTTCGTAACGTACATTTTTTATTAGAATGACCCAGTTTAAACGCATATATACACGTAAAACGTTGAATTATCGAGCTTCCGACTGAAGTCCTTCATTCATGAAGCCTGTGTGTCATGGCAGGAGTTAAAGGGTCACAAGTCAAACCACTGTCAGCATCAGATAGCCAAGGACGACCCTTAAAAACTCTACAAACCATGATAGTGTAAAAGGTAAACTCCACATTTCTGACTAATACCTATAAATCCTCGAGTATTTTATGAATATCTCTTTACTATTGGTCATAATTGTTAAATCTCAGAAAACTACGTAACTGTAGCTAGCTTGTTTGGTAAGGCTTCACTCACCTGTCCAAATTCTGCTGTGCGACAACTGGACCCTGTTCCGCCATTGTTGAGAGGAAATGTCTTCTTAACAGAAGTGGATCAGATGAGATAACGAAAACGAAATAAAAAGCCGCACTGCTGATTTTGTGAACGATAAAAAAAAAAAAAAGTCGCTAGCTAACAGGTTAGCTAATTAGCCCACATATAGGCCGTTATGTTGTCACAGCCCGTCGTCGGCGGAAGTGCCACCTATTTGGGGTGTAACTACTCTCTGACAACCATTCTTTTCAAAATAGCCTTTATCTCCTCGCGGTTGTTATTTTAAGAGAAAATACAGTTTAAATATGTTATGGCCTCGTTCTCCCTGACCGCTTGACTCCATTGACTAGCCGTGGTTACGTCATCAAAACAAGGAACACGCCGTTAGCGCAATTTTAGCCTAAAGTGGGAAATGTAGTTTTATAACCTCTACGTATTATATCGTATCAGATTTGACAAAAAAAGTAAATTGGTGTACTTAAAATATTTTTGCATTGATCTTTTCTGCTCTTAAGTGTTTTTTCACGCGTCATGAATACAAATAATAATTTATACTGCCAGATACATTTAAGTTTATCAGTAGGATTTTAACTGTAATTAATCTGTTTCCCTTGTTTGTGGTTGTCTGGAATATTTGATTCATAATTTTAACAGATAATTAAATGATAAAGTGTCCTCATTTAATGCTCTATTATTAGTCAGGGGTCACATAACCACTGAAATAAAACTATCTATGGGTTATAAACAAATATTTTAATTATCACCAGTCAAACCACACCAATACTGGAAAAGTACAAAATGGCAAAGGTGTAAAATGAGCATATTATTTAAAGATTATTGCCTCATATCCATGACGAAATAATAATCGTTCATGTTTTCCTCATTTAAAATAAATAATGGCTTTAAGCACGAAATCAAAACAATAAAAGAACATTAAGTGTCAAATACTTTTTTATGGTTTAATTAAATTGATATCAAGCAGATAGCATCACTACTTTAATTTGTTAATTTGTGTTTTTCATTTTTCTCAACGGCAGGCTGCTGCACCGCGATAGAACTTCAACTCCCACAAGCCCTTTCGGCCTCCCCCCATGCGCCACAGTCAATCAGCTGCTGAGGCAACTGCTGACTATCTCGGCACCATCGTAGCCCGTTTGTCATATCCCAACCCAGGCGAGGCAAACAGAAATATCTCTATTCAGTCTGAAACAAGGTGAACCATTAAGGTAAATCAAGCTTCGTTTTGAGCAGAAGTGCGACTTTAGAGCGCGTGCGTGCTGATCTGCCGCGTGCGGAGGGACACATATGGATTACAGAGGCGATTTCCGTGGCAAGCGAGCTTCATGACATGTAGATAACCCAGGATATCTCGGCCAAGCGACAAACAACCAAGGGTCTGGTTTGTGGTCAGAGTGTGTGATGGGGGGGTCTGTGGACTGGCTACTGATTGTGGTCCTCTCATGACCTTGGAAGCGTTGCAGTTTGGAGGAGAAAACTCGGATTATAATCTGCGGTGCTCAAAAATGTAAAATCCGACTCATATCAGTGGATTTAATGCTGGATGACTGGTCTGTGACATGACACACCAGCTTCATGGGATTATTTAAAATCTTCCAACTTGTTATTCAGGGGCCACAGTGCATGTTTGCCTTATCAGCGTCACCACATAGGCTTTCTTTATCTGTGATGGACGTCATTTTATATTTATATCTATAACTGATCAAACTATTTGAATGTGTTCGATTTTTATATTTACACAAAGCAGAGCTTCAATGATATGTTTAAAGAAAATTTCTTTATTTAAAAAGAACATTTTGTTTTTGACGCGGCTCCTATCTTGCACCAAACCACATCTTTTTTTTTATCCTGTATTTTTGCATTAGAATGCGATGAGGGGAAATGTGATTATAAAGCTAATAAATGCATGTAATAATGCGAATTATATCCCTACTTTTAAGTGTTTAATGCTCTATTTTGGGCCAAAAGCCCAGAAATGTAATTCGTAAATGATTGAAACAGACATTTAAAACATTAAATCTAGATTTGAATGTAAATGTTTTTTTATTCTTAAATAAAAATAATACTTTTTTCTCTTGTTATTTAATTTATAGGATGTTAGATGGTACTGTAGGGGAAATGTTTAATAGAAATGGTGTTTGTGTCACTTCCTACTGCAGTAAAAGTAAAAAATAAAAGGAAAAAAATAATTTTTTTGTTTTGTTTTTTACTTTCTGTTTCCCTTTTTTGGGATTTCGTTATAAATATGCTGTCAAGGTGTCTTTTCACCTTGTTGAAGGGCAGCTGTATTTACTGACATATGCAAATGAATGTCAGGGGAGGTCCTTAAAGCGAGAAAAGCGCAGATCAGTTTCACATTGCAGAGTTCCTGCGTGGAAGGGGGAAAAAAACACGAGACGTGGCGAAATCTGGTGATTATCTGCTGCCATATCCTTAGTGGGGATTTAACATCAACTTTGTTCTCTGTGGAAGTTTTTTTGTTTGTTTTTTGGGGGGTGATTTTTGCTGATCGCGTGTCCTTTAATGTCTTTTTTTCCTTTCCGGCTGCCGTAGGAGTCCTCTATATGATCTCCTTAGAAATATTCCGATTGACTCAAAGTGTTTTTGTCCTCCTGTCGCAGCTCCACACACCATGCAGGATGATTTACTGATGGACAAAAACAAAGCGCAGCCTCATCAGCAGCAAGATCCGACACAAGCAGACCCTCCTCCCTCCACCCCGTCATCGGATCCCGCTTCATCTTCATCCGAGTCGGAGAGCCCGTCTACCGGCAGCAGCCAAGCGGCTTCCGCGCTGAGGGACAGCAGAGCCCCCATGGAGTCGCCGATCCTCCCCGGGCTGGGCTTCCACCAGGACACCGGAGGATCCCTCAGCTCTCCTCCCTCCTCATTCGGCAGCACTTGGTCCACGGGAACCACCAACACCGTGGAGGATAGCTTTTTCCCAGGAATGCCGTCGGTGAACGGGACGATGCTTTTCCAGAACTTCCCCCACGTCAGCCCGGTGTTTGGGGGGAACTTCTCCCCGCAGGTCGGTCTGTCTCCGCAGCAGCAGCAGCATAGGAGATCCCCGGTCAGTCCCAGCCAGGGGCCCCTTCCCCAGAGAAACGCTTATCAAACCATCATGAACAACAGCAAAGGTTCTTCGTCGTCTTCCCCGACTTCCTCCTCTGCCTGGAATAATCAGCAGAACGCGGCTTGGAGCTCCGCGTCCAGCCCCTGGAGCGCGCTGCAGCCGGGCAGGGACCCGCGCCGAGCCGTGGGCGTAGGGGTCGGAGTCGGCGTCGGGGTGCCGTCTCCCCTCAACCCCATCTCCCCGATGAAAAAGTCTTACACCAGCAATGTCATAGCACCGCCCAAATTCCCCAGACCCGGTGTTCCTCTCGCTCCCAAACCCTGGATGGAGGACGCTGCGTTCAGGACGGACAACAGCAACAACGCGCTGCCTTTCCAGGTAACCCTGCCACACAATCACCTGCTCACTGCATGATCCGAAGTTTTCTCTGGATTCTACCTCTAAATTAGGATGTTTTCTCTCTAAACTGCTTAAGTTTTGCAGATTTCTTCTGTTTTGGTCCCACTAAAATGCAGAGGCGTAACCAGAAAATTTTTATCAGGGTGGCCGAAAGTAGATAGGCACCAAAACCTCATGGTCAGTCTATGCTGTTCCAACAGGAAAATGAACGTGAAAAACATCCATATTTTATAAATAAAGTCAAACTATACTTTTCCACAGCCTTTCTTAAAAAATAAAAAAAATATATTTAAACATCCGTGCTTCTAAATAAAAGGTATAGTGGATCAAATACTTTCAGGTTCAAGTTCTGGGTGAACATCCCTTCCATTGTCTTTACTTACCTACTTTTATCAGTAATCGTTCTGCATAAAATTGATATTTACAAGTACTAATATCTACATAAAATGATTAATATGTTTTTATTAAAATAGTTATTTATCTATGATTTCACCGAAGACTCCTAGATGACTTGCAGAGACGCATCATCTTCTCTTTACCCCATAAAACACAAAATCTATTTCTGCTTCAATTCTTTAGTTATCATCTTTAATGTTAGTATGTTGATGTGCATCATTAACCGCTTTGTTTTTATTGGAAAGTAATTGTTAATATATGAAAATTTAAAGTGTTTTGAATATTCCACTTGAGAATATCACTGTTGCCACCATCTGTATTAGAGGAAAATAAATGGTAGGGGTGGCCAATGATTGGCTACCAATACATGGCCACCCCTGGCCCCCCATCTAGCTCCACCCCTGCTAAAATAATCACCTTATTTGAAAATTGCCTGAGAAAATACGAATTGCAGTTTTGAAACTGTGTCCAATTCAACATAGAGCCAAATAAACAAAAAAGAAACACAAATTAGTTTTGACTATTTGGCAAAAATGTAACAAAACACACCTGAATATAATAAGATATATGCGGTGATTCATTAATATATGTCGATGTGGAGAAGGCTACAAAGCAATTTTTAAAGATCCGAGTCTTCACACTGGAAGAATGATCTAAAAATAAGTAAAAAAGTCTTAAATTAGGTGTATTTACCCTTAATTTGAGTAGGTAAATGAGGTAGTTTGCCAATGGAATGAGTATTTTTACACTTATAATAAGATAATATGCACTTGAAATAAGACAATGCATTTGTGTTTTCTTATTTTAAGTGTAAATTGTCTTGTTCCATTGGCAAAATGTCTTTTAACTCCTTAATCCAAGAACAAATGCACTTATTTTAAGAAAAAAATGACATATCTAGATTTAGATTTTTTTCCAGTGCAGCAAACCACAGTGAGAACCACGGTGGTGGTAGTATGATGTTCTGAGGTGGCTTTACTGCTTCACATTCTGGACAACTTGCTTTTGCTCTAATTCTGGAAAATTATAAAGGAGAGTTTCTTGAAATGGGTTTATCTTAATAGGAGGTCAAGCAGTTTTTAGTTATAAAGCAGGGCAGTGATCCACACTGCAAAAACTATCTAGAAATAAGTAAAAATGTCTTAAATTAAGTGTATTTACCCTTAATTTGAGAAGGTAAATAAGATCATCTGCCAATGGAATGAGTATTTTTATTCTTAAAACAAGATGATTAGATAAGATGCACTTGAAATAAGAACATTTCAATTGTTTTTTTCTTATTTTAAATGTAAATTGTCTTGTTCCATTGACAAATAGTCTCTTTGAAGTAAAAATTCACTTGTTTTAAGATCAAATTACTTTTTTAGATTTCATTTTTTGCAGTGCAAACAGCAGTGTGTCTATCCTTGAATTAAATAAATAAGAATGAAATGGGAAGATTTCCAGTGGCCTAGTCAAAGTCTGTTCTAATTTAATGGAGATACTCATATACTTTCCAGTTTTACTGAATTAAAGCAGTAAAGCATAAAGAGAGAGTGAGACTCCATTTGTCAGACTCTCGATGGCAACTGTTGACGCCATGGGTGGCAAAACCAGTTATTAGGTTTCAATGGGAATGGCTTTTTCCTTACAGGGCCATCCTGGTTTGGCTAGTGTTTTTCCCCTCTAATTAGAAGTCATCATCAAACTTACGATTTGTTCTTCCAATGTTATCTTTGTCTGAAAAGACCTGAAGAAATTTTGGAAAATACTTAAGAAATCCATAAGTGTGCAGATATTTGTATGTCACTACATTTTAAAACATTTTAAGGTCTATATGGGTTCCCAGCTGACTCTTTATGCAGAAAATCATTTAATCTGACTCTAAGCAGATCAGACATATCTTTATGTCCACCAATTAGTGTGATCAGTTGATGAATGGAGGAATTAGACCCATAAATGTAAGCAGTAGCATGAGCTCTTTAACCCTTGGTGTTTTGTAAATTCTAATGTCTGGGCCTCCCTGTATCTGAGTTTTTCATCTAGCAAATTTTGGAGGCTTCCAGTTGGAGATCTGCTGGATCAGACCATAACAGACAGCCTTCTCCACTCGTCTGCATTTATCAGCTTTGAGTCCTTTTTATAGGATTTAGAAAAAAAGGCTCAGGAACTCTGAAACAGTTTTGGTTTTAGGGACATTCTGATAATTTTTTTTTGTTTTTGTTTGAGTTTTTACAGCTCAAGTGGCTCGTTTTTGGGACAGTAGGCTGACAGGAAAGGGGGTACGAGAGAGGGGGAGAGACATGTAGTAAAGGACCACGGGTCAGATTCGAACCTGGGTCGGCCGCGTCGAGCACTAAGGCCTCCGTACAGGAGTCATGAGCGCTAAACGCTGCACCATCGAAGCACGAACCTAGTTAAAAATACTAAAATAATTTTGTTATTTTTCTTCCTCCCAACAAATAAACTGCAAAGAGAACATTTTAACAAACTAACAGCAGTATTAGGTGGTCATAATATTACGCCTGACCAGGGGATGCATATTTAATTTTCAAAATTAGGGAAATGATTTTGGTTATTTTACCATCGGTTCCACATAGTGTCAGTGCTCATTCAGATAACTATGTTAGGGTATCTTCTAGGGATGCACGATATTGGGAATTTTGCCGATATCCGATATG